GGATATTCGAATTCTCCAGTGATACCTACCTATCTAATGATATTCCACACTTCGTATATCCGTTTTGAAAATTATATGCAAAGGGGACGCACTTTTAGGAGCTGACTTTTCTTTAACTATCTTCTCCTATTCTACGTTCCACGTTAAGAAAATAACATTGCGGAGATAGAGCCATGTATGGACGATAGAAACGCGGCGTTGCCACGACACACACAAGCACAATTTAGGGTTGTATAATTTGTATTTTCGTTTTCACAGACATGAATTAAATTAATGTTTTTTAACGTAATTGACCAAAAGTGCCCATTCGAAACGAGAGATGAAAAGTAGGGAAAATGATTGTAATTAGATAAACAGTAATTACAAATGATAATTTTATTTTATCTTATTTTAATTATAGTAACGACAGTTTATTTGTTTTTCGGTGAGACATGAATCATAGAAATCAGTAGAAAATATTGCTTAGTTAAATCATGCATTTTGCCGCCTACTAAAGTTTTAAAAGCAAATAAACGGACTTGGAATGCGTATATCTAATTACTAATTGCAACTTAAAATAATACGATTTGCGTATGTCAGCGATTTTATGTCGTTCTCTGACTACATAATGATAATAAGGCTTTTATTTAGTAGTTATTCTGACTTTACAGTTAAATGTTAATTGAAAATGAAAATTCAAAAATTAAGCAAAGGGAATATCTTGGACATCCGTACAAAAGTGAGTGTCTGAGAGTTTTGGCAACACTGATCTCCATAAGCGTAATGTTATTTTCTTAACTTGAAACAAAGAATAGCGGGCTTTTTTCTGTTTTTGATGCTGCTTATTTAGCCTTTGTCACTTTTTTTACCGATTTTGCCTTTTCGCTGGCAGCAGGACGTTTGGCGTTGATGGCAGTTTTTTTTCAGTTTAGTTGTTCCTCTAGCTTTTGTTTTTCTCTGGAACTAGGCTTTGTAGATCCAGAACATGAGAAGATATATGCTAACTAGAAGATCCTGACGCTCCTTTTACCTTTGTTGACACCAACGGTCTGGTAGCAACTGCAGCTTTTAAATATTTTTTAACGAACGGTGCAACTTTTTCCGCATCTACTTTGTAATGCGCAGCGATATATTTCTTGATAGCTTAAAGATAGGAACCATTTTTTTTTATTTTTTGCCTTCTTTTTATTTCTTAATGGTAAAGGTGTTTGTGGCATTACAAATTTCGATGTAGCCCAAGTGGCTGATTATTGGTTTTCTATATTTAGGAATTCCACAAACTATTAACTATAAATCCAAAACTATCTAGGTAATTGCAATCAAGTCTAGGACTTAAATCTTAATTGAACAATTTTCAATCAAAACTCACATAAGATACAATACGTAACGTTCAGAAGACTGATTTAAATAGCTACGTTTGACTTTTTAAACTCGATATGCGCGAGAATCTATCGTATTTACCCACATCGACATCGACACCTGCGGGTGTGGTTGCAACTAACTTGTCCACACTTGTCAATCTGATCAAATAACAATTTGGAGGGGATCTTTTTGGTTGGTCAACTACAACAATCGCGGAAATTGTCAAATGTCACTCCCATACGCAAACCGTAAAAAGATGGGAATACGGGAGAGGATGTAGACTTGCCAGGGTAATACTAAGCAACCTTGAAGAGTCAACATCAAAGAAGTACTTGGGAATGACCAGGAAAAATCTACGTTTGGCAGTTGGTTTTTTAACTGGCCATTGTCAACTAAGCAAACACCTCCACACACTGGGGCTAGTAGACACACCTCTATGTAGGAAGTGTGAACGAGAAGACGAAACTGTAGAGCATGTCCTATGTGAATGCCCAGAGTTATCGTTAATACGAGAGTACGCGTTCGGCGAGTCCTGGCCTACACCTGCCCACATAAGTGAGATGTCTCCTGGTGACTTGTCCACCTTCCTATAAATGGCAGGATGGACAATAAGCTAAGGGTGACAGCTCCCTGGGAGGATGCACAATGGGTCAATTGTGGCCTAAGTGCTGTGAAACTTAACTCGCGCTCCCTACTCTACAGATACGGATAGATAACAATTTGGAATAATTAATTATAAAAATTAAAAATCTAATTTTCGAGCCCCAAAATTAAGGAACCTAGGCACGTGTCTAGGTTACCTAGGCCTTAGTCCGCCCCTGAAAATTGTAAAATTAAGGGAGGACTCTTTTAAGTGCCCAGCCCTATATATTTATTAATGCTTATCAATTAAGGGTAATTTATTTAACCAAAACGAATTCTATAATTCTTTAAAAAATTATTTTGTGTGAAAAAGCATATTGTTAAAAGTTTCAATGTAAAGCAAATTTACTTTTATAGCTTTAACTAATTATTTTAATATAAAATAAATAATAATTTTTAAATTTGCATTCCTCATATATTTTACTCAGTTTTATATCGGCAACAATTATAGATGCTTTTATATTCGATTACGTTACAGGGGTATTTATTTCCTGAGTTGGTATACCGTTATATATTTCTATGGATTCGAAACGCTCACCGAAGAACATTTAGTTACATCTCGTATATATAATGACATCAATCGTATTTAAAATTTGGCACTTTCATCACTAACATCCAGATTAGGATGCCTCAAAGCACAGTAAGGGGTAGATTGTTAACAGTATTTTGATAGCACACTTTTGAAATACATTTTATTTGAAGTCGGAGAATGAAAAGTAACAGCTTTTAATGAAATAATTTTCGGAGTTTACCGAAAGAACAAGCTGAATGTAGCCGCAAAGGTCAAACATGGAACAAAAAATTTCGGTTTAGCAGTGTTGGCATGTTTTTATAATATATACGCTGTATGCTTCAAATATAAAGAGGTAAAGCTTTAGACAAGTATATTTTGATTATATTATCTTATGAGTTCTGCAATTTTTGATTTATATAAAATAAGTATGAGTAAATATTTGTGTCTTTGGAGATTAATTGTAATTAATTATTAGAATTTTTTGGCAATTGCCCTTTGATATATTGGGGAATAGATTTGGCAATAGTCAAATCAGCAGTTGCCAGATTGCAACACATCTTTGTAATTAATCTTGGAGGAGACAAATATTTACTCGTTATTGTTTCATACAAATTAAACATTGCCGAATTCGTAAAATAGTAAAATCAAAATGTACTTTTTAAAAGATTTTTTTTATGTTTGAAACATAAAACATAATTATGCATTATAAAAATCCAATACTGTCAAACTCAAATATTCTGTTTTATGTTTGATATTTGCGGCTATATCCAGCTTGTACTTTCCGTAAACTCAACCGTAGATTTTATCCAATCTTGCGGTTTGAATATATAATTATGCAAAAATTATATGAGAGTTAATAACTTAAAAACTTAAAACGACATCTATAATGACAGCTTAAGATAACAGTGTCATTACTTGGCCCAATTTACCAAGTTTGGTTGAACGAACCAATAGCAAGAATTGTGAAGCTGGTGCTTTCGAATCAAAATAAATTTAAAAATTTGTCTTTTAGACTTGGACCGTGGCGTTTTTAAAAATTTCGACTTATGAGTTCTACTGTAGTTTAATACCTGTACATATTATTTATTATACAGATTTTTAATTCTTTGTTCAATTTCATGTAAGTACCAGAAAAAAATTATACTCTAAAGAATCTATGAAGCTGCGTTTTTTGAAAAATGCTGCTTTTATTTTGACGGTTGTGCTGTCACTACCATTACCCAAGTTTATTACCAGTAAATGTATATTTGGAACTTCTATTATGCCTAATTTCATAAACGTTATTTTTTCTTAATGAGTCTTTTCAGGATTATTTCAACAACATGTCGTAATTATTGTATCAAATAAAATTTATTTCAATTTTATTACCAAAATAAATACCGCTTTCTTTACCCTCCATCACTCGCACCGTTAGAAAAAATCTAACATTAATAAATATTTCGCCATAATTTTCGAAATATTGCTTCTTTTAGGTTCTGCAACCAGGAATACTCCTATGAAGACTCGTATAAGACTGTGTAAAATAATGGTGGGAGTACCTATTATCTTATAGCTGACAGCAGTTGTTGTTAGTTCAAATATAACACTTGAGCGATTGAGTTCGTCGGAGCGTTAAAAAAAATCTAACTACGCGAGTGTTGGCTTGTGTTGATTTTTAGCGAGAATATTATGGTAAAAAGTAAGCCTTTTTGTTAAACACCTATAGATTATTGAACATCCGTTATTATAAGCGTTCTATCTATATAAGGATTTTTACAGCTGTCGCCGCCTTCCTTCTTTTAGCCAACATCTCCAGTCCTTTCTGTTCTGCCATTCTCCATCTCTAAGGTCTCGTCTTTCCATGGCCTCGTCCACTTCATCCCTCCATAATCTTCGGAGTCTACCTCTTTTCATCCTTCCTATTGGGCTCCAATCCGAAATCTTTGCTATCCACCTTGTATGATCTGTTTTTCTCGCATGTCCATACCAAATTAAACGTTTTTCTTTGATGTAGCTGAGTATGTTTTGTTCTACTGCCATTCTTCGTTTTATCTTCTTATTTCTGATGCGATCTATTTTTGTCACACTGCAGCTTCTTCTCATTAACTTCATTTCAGTTGCTGTGATTTTGGACCTGTTTCGTTTATTTATTATCTAATTATCTGCAATTATAAGCGATATTTTGGTTTATTGCAGGTAAATATGGACAAGAAAATATAAAAAACCAGTTACTAAAATGGTATGAAGAGATAGACAGCAATGTGAAACCACTAGATTGTGATAAGGACTTAAGTAATGTTCGTTATATCGTTGACAGTGTCCACAATAAAGATTCTGAGCAGTTCACACAAGATCTACCCAGTGATCCTGAAGATGAATTGGATGAAAGCGGCCAAGATTATGGTTATCCACGATTTTAGCGCAAAGATAAAACACCATGGTTGAAACATAAAAAACACCCTTCCAAAAGTAAGACCAAAGCTTGTAATATTGTTACGAACTTTTTTTTCTTTCTTTTTTTTTTAGTGGCATAGGCAAGTGCCATACAGCCAGGTTGCGAACTTACCTGGAGTAAAAGCAAAAGCAAAATGCGCCAAAACCATATTAGAATGCTAGAAATTGTATTTTTTGAGTGCTATGATCAATATTATTTTAAAATATACATATAAATCAAAAACTGGATATAATGAGAGTATTTTATACTCGCCCTAGGGATTGTCGTGCTGTTGACTACGAGAAAATGCAAGCATTTATCGGACTTTTGTTCCTTGGTGGGGCGAAGAAAGCGCAACATGTAAATCCTGATGAACTATGGAAATTAGATGGCACAGCTCCAGATATTTTTGCAGCTACTATGCCCAAGATAATATTTCACTAAATAATTCAAGCTGTAAGAATTGACGACACCACTAAGAGGCAAGAAAATGCGGCAGTTGATAATCTTGCACCCATTCGAGAAATATATGAAATGTTGTCACTACCTGTTTATCTGCATACACTGGATTCTATGTGACCATAGATGAAATGTTGGAAACGTTTCGTGCTCGATGCAAATTTAGGCACTATATAGCCAATAAGTTAGCGAAATACGGAATCAAGATTTATATCTTGGTGCACACTATAACATTTTTCAAACAAAATCTCTAAATTTACCCCGGCAAACAATCTGAAGGACCATATTAACTACCCAACGATACATCTAGCGTAGAAAAAAGACTTATACGACCCATAAGTGGAACCAGTCGAAATGCAACTACGGATATTTACTTTTCCTCTGTACCCTTAGCCAACTCTTTATTGAACAATCATTGCTTGACAACAATAGGTACTTTGCATAAATACAAACGACAAATTCCCCCTGAGTTGACAAACGTAAAAGAAAGACCTTTATGTAGTAGCATGTTTGCATAGTTTGACGATGGATATAAGTGTGTACTTGTATGGAAAAAAAATAAGAATGTACTACTACTTTTAACACTACACAGCGATGGTTTCATTGATGAAAACACCAAAGAGCATACCATTAAGCCAGAGATTATTACTGATTATAACCTCACAAAAGGCGGAGTGGATGTTGTTGATAAAGTGAAGACAGAATACTTGGTGACTTGATTTAGTAATCGCTGGCCGTTTACTTTTTTTTGCACCCTATTAAATATTTCAACTATAAACAGCCAACTAATTTTCAACAATATTACTAATATTGTAACATCTTAAAGCAGCTACATTGCGGAGCTTGGCAAGAACCTTTTAATATTCCATTTTTAACGACGACGTTCTAATATCCCAAATTTGCTTATCCCAAAAACCCAAGAAAAGCCATGAATTTCTCAAGGGGCAACTCCAAATATAAAACTAAGAAGTTTTTTTTCTGTAAGGAAAAACAGGTTTACTCAATATTATTGTACTAACTGTCAGTTGCCGATATGTAAAGAGCACAATGGTTTAATAAATTTTACTTGCCACCACTGCCTAGAAGAGAAAGAAATCTAATTTTATGCGTAATGGGTACATTTTTTTTTAATAAATTGGCTTATTTGTTTTGTTCTAGGGTAAAGGGTAGGGTACTATTTTAGTTTACCTAGTAGTTTTTTTTGCAGTTTTGTTTTAAACAAACATAAGTTTATCATTTTTTTGTGAGTTATTAACCAATAAACTTAACCGACAAGTACTAATGACTCATTTATTTGGCCTGTACCCATATGTTAGATAAAATCTAACACGCGAGTGATGGCGCAATTTTTTGAGATGCCAGTGATGGAGGATTAACAAATTTTTTTTCTTAATAACATCTAAATACATATCAAAATGGCGTTAGTTATTTAATTATCTATGTTGCTCCTCGACTCGCTATTTGATTTTATTAGAACTGTTTCAGTATTCTAAATTTTGGTCATGACCTACCTAATAAAAAATATATTCTAGTAGATGACTAAAGCGAATACTTTTTTCAAACCAAGGCAGTATTAACACAGCATGCTAACACTGCTTTGTCCATAAAATATCAAGGCAGAAAAAAAGATTAGCGGAACTCTTAAGTCTAATATTAAAAAAAGACATGTCAAATCTTGAGATGTCTCTAAAAGTTGTAAGTATCTAAGCCATGGTTGTCACATGCTTTCAATCGTCGCTGCATTATTTACCATATTATTGTAATAGTCGAAGTTCTCATAAGTCATGCACCCTTATATAATTTTTGTAGTAGTATGCTTTTACTTTTACTTCTACTTTAACAGCAGTCATCATTTTTATGTTCTTTTAGTAATAAATCTGATATTTTAATAGAACATCAGTGGGAAAGTATGCCGTAGACCATTCTTACTTGATGTGCTGTACAAAGATTACATTCGTGTACAATAAATTTTACAAAGGGAAAGTAAATAAATTATTGTACTTTAAATTCGGTTTGCTGCATTTCTATCTGGCTGAAGATTCTTGCGAATCTTCCTCCGTATACTAGTCAACATAGTTCCTTAAACCCGCTTTGAACTCAGGGGGTACTTGCTTTCGAAAACAGTCTTCTAAGAAGTTGCCCATGCTTTCATAAAGGTGTCGTTTCACACCTCCTAAGTTGTGGCTTTCATCTGGATATATCTAAAAAAAAATAAAAACTGCTTTAGGATGAATGTAATATAAAGAGTAAAAAATATGTATGATTCGAAAGTTTTTTTGATGGCCCAAACTTCTACTACGCTTTAGAATTTTTTAATAAGAGGAAAATTGTGTAAAATCTAAAATTTTTAAACTCCTATCTATAATACCTGTTTAAATTCTATTGTCTAATTTTCACGCCGTTTTCTTCTGTTGCTTAAATTTTATTGTCCGTTCTCTTGGGTTTGGTTGGGTTAGGTTTAATATAAGTGGGCCCTTAACCACCCTTCGATTTGACCTAAAAGGTCTACTGTTCGTCCATATGCTCATCCATATGCTATAGTGGCCCCTTCAGCCCTGCTGTTTTAACAAAATATATTATGGCCTTAGGTGACACTTATACGAAGTCGTGGGCCTCGAGTTAATATTGATTATATAACTAAAGAATCACAGAATATATTCCCCCGTCTCGTCAGCAGCTTAAAAGAATTTGCAATTATTTTTTCTGTTAGTCTGATTTTGTCAATGTTCCCCTTGAGGCAATGGGGCCCTCTTAGGAGATCTACGAGAATTCGCGGATCATTCATATTTATATTTAATATCGATTATTTGTACCAGCGGTTACGTTTAACCCGTTCCACCCAGTTGCATAATTTTTCTTTTAGCTGTGCTTCTTACTATGCCAACGAAAGGTTCTGGAAGTATGAATGTTTCTTTTGCCCCTTCCCCATTGAGATGTTATATTTTTCATGTCGTAGGGTGCTTTTCTTAGAAGATGCAATTTTATTTTGTTGATGTGTTGGGATTGTTAGTATGAGTTTAAGTTAACGGAGTCGCCACCCTGGTCTATATAGTATATATAGATATATTGTTCATCGTATATTGTAAACTAGCAACCATAAAAAAAATTAGTCGACAAACTAAATTGTCTACATCTTTATTTTTATTACTTTTGATCGTTAAATGGAAAATGAAGAAATTATAAACAAAGATAGATATGTTCAGATATGAAGAAAATGACATCAGAGCAGCACCATAGAGGATTATTTCATTAATATATCTGGATTCTATAGCGCTTCAAAGTTGGCCAGGTTATTGTATACTCGCCATTTTGGAATAAAGGGTGCAAACGGTTTCGCGCTGTACCTCGTAAACTAGCAACACTACAGAAAATTGTATGAAACAGTATTTGTAACAAATTACATTGTCTACAAATCTATTCTGATTATTTTATTTTTGTAAAATGATAAATAAACAAGTTTTTTTAGTCATTTTGCAATAATAACGTCCAGTAAAGCAATATTATAGAGGGTTTTGCATCGAATCATTTTCACTACAACTTTGTATTATTTCATTAATTTTTTTAAATTTTAGAACGCTCATAAGTTGACATTGTTCTTGATTACTCGTAAGAATGCGATAAAAACGAACCATTATACCAAGTTTCTATTATATATCTTTTTTATTCATATCATTTTAAATCAATTTAATATTTTCTTAACATTACCACACACTATCATAAAACTTACACCACCTCGTGCGTTTGCAATATACAAAAGAGAACCAATGGAGAGAGATAAGTAATGTTTAATAAGATCACCGTACCAACACTATTACAAGATAGAATAAAATAGAATAGAATATTCTTTAATAATCCCATCAGATCACATTGTGATATAGGACAAGTCATATAGTACATAAAGCATGATCAACAAGTTATATAGGATAATTACATAAAACAAAATCAATAAAATATAGATTAATATAAAAATAAAAAACAAAGATATGCAATATAGAGCGTCTCTGAACCCGTCGGTCCTTATTCTCTGTAGTCTTTTATTAAGTCAAAATATTCATTTAGGTTGTAAACGCATAATTGGATCAAGCATGCTTTTAATTCATTTTTGAATTTTTGAATATTGTTTTCATTTCTTATGTTAAGTGGCAAACAATTATAAAATTTAGATCCTGCAAAATCAGGACTAGTTTCAAAGAGAGTTGTGGAGTGTTTACACAGGCTTATCAACTTCCCGTGTCTTGTCGGGTAATTATGAAAATCAGAGTTGAGGGTAAAATTTTGAAATTTAGCTTTGACGTGAATAATACACTTATAAATATATAAAGCATGAAAAGTCAACAGCCTGTGTTCAATAAAATATTAACGACATGATTGTCTATTATTAATATTGAATATCAATCTAAGAATTCTCTTTTAAGTTATAAAGACTCTAGAAGAGTTTCTAGAGTTTCCCCACAAGATAAGATTATAGGCCATATATGAATAAACCAATGCATAATACACACTTATCAATTGATTGGTATTAAATAGAGTTTTCAACTGAAGGATCGCATAGTAACCCTTATTCATTGTTTTGCAGACTTTAGTGACATTTTCATCCCATGTCATATTACTTTCTAGAATGCTACCAAGAAATAATGTTGTATCACTAAAAGGTATTTCCTCAAAACTAACTGTGATTTTATAACCATAGGATGACTTAAAGACTTAAACCGCTAGTAGAACTACATACAACTAGTTTTCTTTGCATCTACCATTAAAGAGTTCCTTTTACACCAGGTTGTAAATTTCTGTGCTACTAAGTTCATTTTTGATATGAGTTCGACTTTATTTGACTCGTCAACTACAATTGTTGAATCATCTGCATAAAGAACTATATGGTCTGCAGTAAAAAAATGTGTCAAATCATTGACATATAAAAGAAATATTAGGGGTCCCAATACGGAGCCTTGCGGTACACCACGATCAAGATTAAAAACAGATGACTTCTTATTATCGACTTTTACTAGGAATTTACGATGTTGTAAGAATGACCTTAACCAGTTCAAGAAATAACCCCGAACACCAAGGGCTTCTAATTTAAGTCAAAAAAGAGTGCACCCACATACCTTTTTCAATCCAAATCAGCGTGGATATAATTAAATAATGAAATAGAAGCACTCTTGGTAGATTTATTAGGAAGAAACCCATGCTGGCATTTATTTAAGATATCATATTTATTCAGAAAGTTTAACATTTTACTATAAATACACTTTTCGATAATCTTAGAGAGTACACTTGTTACGGTGATTGGGCTGTAATTATCAACCAAACATGGATCTCCCTTTTTGAAAATTGGACTGACTACTCCCGTTTTAAGGTCACTTGGAAACTTGCCATCCTTGACAGATAGGTTGATGATGTGAGACAAAATAGGAGATATATATGAAGAAATGTATTTAATTATTTTAGTGGGGATTTGATCAATACCTACGGAGCTGGTATAGTTTAAGGAAGATATAGCATTCTCAATATCAAATGGTGAGACTTAAGAAAAAAAGAATGTGTTGTTAATTGTCATAGTTGTGAAATCGTTAAAGGCATAGTTATTGAAATGTTTTAATAATGTGTATTTGACTGATGTACAAAAATACTCACCAAATTTGTTTGCTATGTGTTCTGGATGTATCAATAATTTATTATTATCAGTAATGCTCCACTCAAAATTGTTTTTATTTTTACCAGTTTGACGATTCACAGTTTTCCATATCTCCTTCCTTCTTTTATTATTATTTTGATTATGTAAATAACTTTGATATGATGCTTTTTTTATATCCTTTACCTTACGAATAAAGTTGGCCTTTTGTATTTTATAGTTATACATTAAATCTGAATTACCACTAACATTTGCTAGCCAAAATAAATCTTTCAGCTTTTTACTAATCTGAAGAATTTCAGTATTGATCCATTTTCTGTTGGTATTAGTAGTTATGCGTTTTGATATTAAAGGACATGTTGTATCAATATGATAGGAGACAGAGTTCAAAAAAGCTCTATATGCATCATCTACATCATTTAAATATGTATAAACATTTTCGAAATTCTCAAAATCAAGACTCAACAAAAGATTAGACCAACAATTATTTGATAAGTTTCTATAAGTAGCTATCTGGGATGCAGCAGTATTGTTACTCTCAAATACACTAAAATGAAGTCCTAGATGATCACCTAAATTGTAGTTCACGACAACCTCATTGTATAATTAAGGAATATTGGTAAGAAAATAATCTAGTTTCGATCGTGAAACTACACCGTTTTTATTTGTATATATTCTAGTTGGTTCAGTATTTTTACAGTTAAGTCCAAAACTAATCATAAAATCCTTCAATATAGATTTTTGCCTTGACTCTTTAAGATAATCGATGTTAAGATCACCACAAAGAATAATACAATGATATTTAACGTAACAAATATTAAATATATAATATAATTTATGTATAAAAATATCAATATTCCCATTAGGGGAGCGATACACATTGAGTAAACAAAATTTTTCTGAGTCACATCTAAAACTAATACAACAGCACTCAAAGTTAAAATCTTGACAGATATTCATGAGAGAACTTGGAATATTAAATTTAAAATTAACCTTTACAAATATAAGTACATCACCATGTATATGATCACTTCGATTATAGTACGAACCTAAGAGATAATTTGGAAGATATAAGGAATTTATATTGTTGTCACTACACCATGACTCGGTTATACACAGCAAATCCGGACTTTCGGTTTTAAGCAATAATTCGATAAGACTTATTTTGTTTATAATAGATTATGAATTATTACATACGATTTCTAGTTTGGTGCTGCCTCCAAGCTTATTTGTAGCATTTAGATTGTCCAATTCGGGACTCGTAACAACAATTTCTGGTTTTGATGGAGACCGCGGCTGGATGGATAGATTTTTTTAGTAATGAAAAGATTAAAACAAACTTAATAGACCTTCTCAAAACTGCTCTATCAAAAATATGTTTTAGTCTCGACTAGGATGAATCCGATGCAAATACAGTCATCATCCATTCTGCGCTTGCTGTATTACAAGGCTATGATTCTGTGACTGTCGTAGTAGAGTACACTGACATTTTTATCCTGTTCACGACATTAGGAAGAAAACAGTCCAATGGTGTGTGTCCAAAGTATACAAAACCTTAACCTTCAACAAGGTGTACGTCGCATCAATTATACTGTTCTTCTAGTTTTATATATTATGACGACGTCATTGTAGAGAATTTGTTGTTTCTCTAAGGTTTTTCAGGATGCGACATAATATTAGTAGTATACTAGATAGGCTAATTAAATTCATTAACATTTTACAGAAACGTCCTGAAAAACCGAGCCATCTTTGCGCACTATCGTTGGCGAACGATTGTTTGTCTGTTTAAATTGTGTCAATATAGATGATTGTCTAGCAGAACGAGCTACAAAGAATTCGCCAAGATAATGACCAAAATTACATTTAACTTATCATCGCTTCTGCCTCAAGATGCAGCTCGTTTCTACAGTATTTTACCAGGAAGTACTGTGATCATAAAAATTGGAGCTGGAAAAAGTATGGAACAATTTAATATACGTTTTTTATATAGACGTTTGACTAAGGCATTATTTTATTATTTTCACCTATTTTAAAACATTTTAAAAAATGGTGAAAACCTTAAATAATCTATGCCTCTCTGCATGCCTGTGAACACAACTCCTTCGATGCTATAACAGATAGAATGGCAAATTATAGGTGTAGAATGAGAGACAAAAATAGTACGTAAGATGAGAAATTTAACCTCGAACTTTCTGTTAGAGTTGCAATTTAAAGTACTATTCAAAAGTCGCCGAAATAGTATAATCTGTAGTCTTATTATATTGACTGTTGCTAAGGCATAATAGAATATATCGTACCTTAGCCACAAATATATGTATGGTTTTTATATATCTGTCGGTTAAAACGTTTTACCAAAATCTACCAAAAACGAATCAAAGTAGCCCTAAATTAAATAAAGAATTAACGTTGAAATCACATTCAAAATAATAAACAACGCAAAGTTGCACGAAAAGTTCAAATATTGACATCCGGTTGTAATTTCGGCCACGTTTAATGAAAACGTAGGACTTACGAAGTCTTGGATTTTCCTTGTTCAATTGCTTGTTAATTGGTCCAGAGATTTAACATAAGAGTAAAATAATTAATATGACAATCTCATCTCATAAAACGAACTAACTAATAGTAGTCAGCAAAGAACTAACCAGGTGTAAAATAGAAATTGATTATCAGTATTGAACAAGTAATGGAAATAAAATATCTAGGAATTACACTGTCTAGCTATGGAGACCTGGACAACGAAGTGAGAGATTAAGTACAAAAAGGAAATAGGCTGGCAGGATGTCTTATTAGCCCTATATGGCGAAACAGACATATTCACACTGAGATAAAAGTCAAGAATTTATAAAGTTAGTGTGAGACCAATAATGACTTATGCCTCATAAACATCACCCAACACAGTCACGACTCGAAGACTACTGGAAACGGCAGCAAAAAAGAGAGTACTGAGAAGAAAATAGCCTGAGAGATCCAGAGAGAAGTGAAGATATTAGATGAAAATATAACGTACAGTGTATAAATAAATAGACACAAAATAGAAAAAAACGAATGAAATAACCACACACGCAGAATGGAGGAAACCTGCGTCGTTAAAATAGCTAGAGATATTAGCAAGCAAGTCATTAGTCGGCAGAAGAACTATCAGACGACCGCGCAAAAAATGAAGTGACAACCTTCCATAGAGGTATTAATTCGCCAATGAACAAGCAGAATTGCTTATAAAGAGGAGAAAGAAGAAGAGAAGAATTGCTTGTTTGTATGGGTTTGGTTGTGGATATAAAATACTTACCTTTATACTTAACCATCAACTACAACCCATCACAAAGAAGATCATCGGAAAATATCAGTCGGGATTTAGGAAAGGAAGATCAACCATCGACCGACATTATAGATGTTTATATTATTGTTGTCAACTTTATATAAGCATACAGCTAAATAAATATAGCATATTTATACAAAGTATTAGATGAATTAAAAATACCGCCCAAACTAGTAAGGATCATCCGAATGACGATGATGGATATAGTGGCTCAGATACAGATACAACATGAGATGACAGATATATTTTAAATCACAGGAGTATTAGAAAAAGGTGATGGATAGATACCAAAACTGCTTAATTTAGCACTAGAATACGTAGATATAAAAAGAAGGTAGAAACAACATACTTATCATCAATAAATTAGTCCAGCTGGCAATATATGCAGATGATATAAATATAATCAGCAGAACCAAAGTTACAGGAAAGAATACATATATGGAACTTAAACCAAATGCAATAAAACAAATAGGTTTGTCAACAAACACCAAACAATACGATAATACATGAATAATAGATGGTGAGCTATAAATGTGAAACTTGAGTATTGAGTAAAGTGATAGAAGGATGATGGGAATTTTAGAGGAGAATGGCTACAGACCGTAACCAATAAAGAGGTTTGCTGAGGGAAGCCAGAGCTCGAATTGAACTGTAGATCCATAGGATTGACGTGTGGGTTTTGTTATATAAAACTGAGCACGTGACTGAATACGAGCAAAGTATATAGCAAATCAAGTCATAGCGCGACCATTCCTGGGTTAAATTAGAATTAATATTAATAATTTTTGCCACCCAGAGCTAAGATAATAAGTTTTGATATTTCTAGCTTATTCGTAGTATAGTTCTATATGAGACACACTGATAAACTACAGTTTTTAATTTTTAAATTACTTAAAAATTAATTGGATACAAAAATAAGGATATACCTGTTGCCGGAAAAGTGTTCCAGCTTCTGACAAGGCTTTTACCAAAGCCATTGACTGTTGTAAGTGTACATTATCGTCGGCAGATCCATGAATGAGGTAAAACATTTTATCTTTTAATAGATGAGCCTTTTTGCTGACGTCTGCTTCTTCATATCCCTTGTAATTGTCTGTTACATTTGGAAGACCCATGAATCGTTCCGTGTACGCAGAATCTGGAAAAGTAAAATATGCTGAAGATATAATAAAATATTTCATTGTAAATGAATGTAAATGAGCTGTAGATTATATTTATAGTTTATACCTAAAAATTGTATTTTTTATTAAAAACTATTATGTATTTTTTATTAAAAACTATTATGGAAAAGAAAGTTATACTGACAATTCAGATATATCATTTATTGTGTAATGCTTCCAGATTTATTATTGTATATACTTTCAGAGGTAGCCGAAGCAAATTCGTATCAGAAAAAGGAACACGAGATCAGATACTGAATTATACGGTATAGAATGATACGGTACAGAAAATAAAAAAAGTGAAGGAAAACAACATACCAATGCTGTTCTATTTTGTAGATTACGTTTTAGATTCAGTAAAATAGGATCTCTTCTGGAGTATAATGGAAAATTTGGAAGTACCTAACCACCTAGTCAATCTTATAAGAAATTTGTATAGTAACGGTGTATCTATATGGTAATGGTAACGGTAACGGTAAAGTGAAATATGCGGAGAATTGATACTTTAGATCAATACCAGAACAACAAAATTATTGATTATAATAGCAAATAATACTACCGCTTATACACCAAGTGGCAAATTTCGAAATAATAGATATATTTGTATATCTACTACTCTATAAAAACTACAATGGCGATTGCTCCTTAGAAATTAAGCATATGTAAACTAGCAATGTCCCAAACTGCAACAGCTAAATTAATTAAAATATAACAATACCGACTTAGAACAAGAAATACTAAGCTTTGGTTGGTCAATGCTTTTACTTTTCCTATTGTTACACACGCAGCTAAAACATGTATTAAAAAAATCAATAGGAGTAAGATTCTATGTTCTTCTTCAAAATGTATGTTTTTATAAAAATTCTAAGCGAGTCCTGGAAAGAATATAAAACCAGCCTGTCATTTCTGGAAGAGCTTCATATAAAAGACTTCTATTAAAATGAGGACCGTGCATATCTAAATTACTTCAGCCAAATAGCTACAATAACTTGGACCATGGAACTATTGCTAATAGACAGAAAGGTAGAAGGTAGAAGACTAAGAATACATACGATACAATAAGCATACCAAATAAAGAGTCTAGAAGAAAAATCCCTACATAAAACCGTTTATATGGTACGATATTGTAGTCAGTGAAAAGAGCAAGCTAATAATATTAACCCATTCATGCCCAGAATTCCCTAGTGATTTTTTTTGTGTAATATTTTAGTCACGGAACTTCTATGGTACTTTAAATGTAAAAATGGTATTAAAAATCATATCAGTATCTAAGTGCCAAAATGGCAGCCTGGCAACTCTAGTTGCCACTGGGATAAAGCGGTGTAAATACAAGAATAATAAAAAACATTAGTATTTATAGTATTTATTTATTAAATGCTGGTATAACATCAATTTTAAGTGTGAAACACTTTAAAGCAGTTGTCAGGGTGTAAGGCAATATCACATTTAATACAAAAATAGGATGTACGATTGCCACAGATCTTACAACGACGATACTTGGACGCACCTTTCTGAATAATATGATCAGTGTGGTCTTTTCTGAGTTCTTGAAGTACAGGTGAAAAATTCAATGACGTTTTGACTCCAAGTATTTTTGGAAGGGTACCAAATGATTTTAAAAGGTACACTGTGCATTGGCGCCTAAAGTTCAACAATGATATGTCATAACCAAGTCGGCGATATAAAAGCCAACCTTGTACACATGTGACATCTACAGCCCATGAAAAAAAAGCCCACCACCATTTTTTTGATCTAATTCGGCCCCGGTAAGAAGCCACGAATTGATCCATTATATCAACGCCTCCCATGTTGCTGTTGTACCGTTCAATAGGACCTGGAATATCGATTGTGATCTTTTTCTTTTCTGCACGAGAATATCTATTAGCCTTTTTCATCGGATAGACTTTGTCAGAATTGGTAAGCATTGTGACAACGTTATTATCATTCCAGCGAACTAGCAAAAGATCACCAGACGAAGAAGTAGCCAAGTCACCTCTTTGTTTTTTTTTTTCCACGCACTTTTTTCTGGAAGTTTCATTGCGGCATTACATCGATTTTCACGTAATGTTCCGGTACCTCCAATTTCTCTGAAACTCAATTCTTGCAACAATGCAACCGACGTAAAAAGATTATCAAAATAAAGTCTATTTCCTTTTTTCAATTGCACGTGATCAATTAAACCTAGAACAACATCACCACCTTGTCCTAGACCAGTTTGAGGAAGGCGTGTGGAAGAGCCACAATACGGTTTAACATGATGGATGTAACCCGAAGGATCGGCAGCTACCCACAGTTTGTACCCAAATCTAATGGGTTTGCCCCTTATAAATTGTTTACTTCCATGTCTCCCGTAATAAGGAATCATACTCTCATCGATGCTTACAGTGGGACCAGGAGTAATTTGCTTGAATGCAGAATTTAGCATATTAAACAAAGGGCGAATTTTATACATTCGATCAGTACCGTCATTGGACTGATTGTCGGCGAGATGAATAAAACTCATAAGTTCATCGAAACGACTTCGTCTCATTGCATTTGAGACTATTGGTGTGTGAACGTCATCGTCTATGGTCCAGTAAAGCCGTCTGCAAGGCAGTGGGTGATATCCCGATAAGAGCATAACCCCAACAAACGTTAAAATTTCTGCCGAAGTAGCGTTAAGGTTGTGTACTAATTTTTGCCCTGCATAAGAATTTGTTTCGCGAACAATGTGCTCTATTGTATCTTGTGTAAAATTACACCTAAATGCGTTAATCGGGCTCTTAATTGTTTCTTTCAAAAGATCCTCTACATTAGGACGGTATTCGACATCTGGTTCAGGAACCTTTGAAGTAAATTAAAAAATATTTGATTTCCACGTAGTTGGATTTAAACGTGGCCGTTTGGCAGATTTAGGACATTTGGAAGCAGATGGTTGAGAAATACGAATCTGCCGAGAGGTACTCGGTTGGGAAACATTTTCGGTATCATCAGCAGCTTCAATTTCATGACTGTACTTCACACTTACTTGAGAGCGCAGGATACGAGCTGGAAGATGGTTGGTATCGCCGGCCACTTCTTCATCCGAGAAATCGGAATCCTTGTCTGTGTCTGCGTCTGGAGGTTCTTCAGGTAGACAAATCGATATATACTCAGGCATTTCATTATCTTCTTTGAGAGCTTCAAGAAGTTCGTGAAAAAGTAACCCCTTGCCATCTCTTCCTCGTACATACCTGAAAATATCACATGATAATCCATATTCCCAGTGGCAACTCAAGTTGCCATGCATTTTTACATATGTATATTGAAAAAAGTAAATGACTGACGAATAACAATTATTATTAAAAATGACGACAAAAGCTTTCTATTGAAGACAATAAATAATTTGTTTAAAAAATACATTTATATATTTGTATACTTACATAGAACTGTCGGCGGCCATTAATATAATTATACACGTACAACACCACTATGCACACTATCGATACTAACTAATTGAATGATAGATACAAACTGTCGCTTTGCGAATTTTGTTAGCCGATAACCCCTTCCATCTAATTTAACTGCACTTTGCGAATAAGAATGTCAAAGAGGGGAGAGGGAGACATTCATAGGCGTGGCAACTGTAGTTGCCAACGGGCATGAATGGGTTAAGAGTATTACCACCCCCTGACAAGGGCTCAAGGAGTAAGTAAAAATATGATTAACAATTCACCTTACCATACAATTTCCAATTTGTTACTGGTGAAACTGCTATAGCACAGTGAAAAACATTTTTAGGACTTGCTAATGCCAACGCAGCTACGAATCCACCATAGCTCCAGCCCCACACTGCTACACGTCTCTTGTCAATAAAATGTTGAGTATCTCTTAAATACCTAAAAAAATTTCATTGGTTAGTATTCTATAGAGAGTTTTTACTCAAATTAATTTTTCATTGCTAAATTTGTATACCAGACCATTTTCGATATGAAGAAAATATCTTTCTTTATATTAAAAAAGTATCAATCCGATAAGTACTACACAATCGCCCGAATACACAGAATTATCTAAAAGAACAATAATTGTTTTAAGGTCTAACGTCGCTGCTTAAGTTTATTATAGTATATAGGTACATGCCAGGTATCGACCACGTTTTAAAATAACACGTTCAAATAATTTCCGAAATTGAAAATCGAAACGTCAAAATATACATATTTTAAACTCAAATTGTTATTTTAAAATGCGTAATTTGGATCTGTTATATTGAAAAAAATTTGTTTTATTTTTCAGAGAGAAATTATGGTTTGTAAAAAAAATAAATAAGTTTGAAATTTTACCTGCCTGACTGGAAGAAAAAGGACTGTTACCATTGGGAAGAACAAAAAAATTGTAACGATACAATTAAAGTCGCTATCTAGTCGCTATCTATTCGATTTTTTTTAAGATTGCCTCAAGAAAAAACGTGGTTAGCTTTATTTTTCTATGATATCCTAAACAAAATGTCGAATCGTTTATAAAATGAGAAGAGCAAAAATTGTACCAATAATAAAATATGGAGATCAAGCAAACCAGCCAAAAGCTAGCGGGCAATTGATTTATTAAGTATTTTATATAAGCTTCTTGAAAAATACCTACACAAAAAAGTTGCTACTTGTCTACTCGAAATAATTCCCATAGAACAAGGCAGCCACGTTAAGTACCAACCTAAGCTATACCAGCCAGGTCTTAGCACTTACGACATAATATATTAAAGCTGGGTTTTATAAAAAGAAAAAGAAAAAAAGCTTTCGTCTTCATAGATTTATCAAGGACCTAGGACAATATTTAAAAAAAAGATCTATTTCTGCAAGAATACTTTTTTAATGGCCTCTTTGCAGCTTTGATCCCACCATGGTGGAAAAAGAGTTTTTTTGTTCAGTTTAAAGGGTTGGTAAATGGGTATAGAGGCATTGGCTGCCTTATTTATCCCTTCAATTAATAAGCTATAATGATGTTCCGCGTTATTGTTATTTTTAATGTGTTATGAGAAATAGTTATTCGCAACTTCTTGATATAGAGTCCAATCTGCTTTTTTCAAATTCCATTTTGTTTTCGGGTCTATTAGGATGTCTTTACTTTCCATACATTTGTTAATTTCTATAATCATTAAAAAATGGTCCAAATCTAGTACATCAGGTAAAGTTTCCCATGCACAATTAATTGCTATATCTGGAGTTCCAAAGGTTAAATCCACAACTGAATTATTCCCATTATTTGTGAACCTTCTAGGTGATCCGGTGTTTAGAAGTAATAACTCCGTATTGTCTGAAGCGGTTATAATTTGCGTGCCTTTGGTGTTACTTTTGTATAATCCCCATGTTGAATGATGCGCATAGAAATCACCTCCAAATATACTATTTGACTTGGTATAGTTAAGAAATGCGTCCCAATCTGCAGTTGTTGTTCGTATATCAGGTGGGCAGTATAAAGAGAAACATGTTAGAGTTATTTCACTGTTATTCAATATTTGTATACCACACATTAAAATATTTTCATTAAAATTTTTCTTAATTGGAATTTCTTTAAAACAAAATAGATTTCCGACAAGGATTGTTACACCTGCATAACCATCATTTCTATCTTGACGAATAATTTTATAACCCTTGAAATTATATTGTTTATCTGGCTTAAGCCATGTCTCTGAAATTAGGGCAATATAAATTATATTTTCATTTAAACATTTAAGTAAACTCAGTTTATTGGATACAGCCGATTGCGCATTCCATTGGAAAATCTTTATTTTATTTTTTATTTTATTAGCCATTACTTAAATTTATTGAAATTGTTAATTTTATCATAAATTTATGCTTTATCTAACTTTTCTAAATCGCTAAAAGAATTAAACTCTTCGAGTAGGTACACTTTTAAAAATATTGAAAAATATGTTGAATATGTTGATATCTGTAAAATATTTGAGGGAAGAGGTCTTTTTGGACCAAATTCAAAAGGAAACATAGCTTCAGGTAAGGGAGATTGGGCTTTTCTTTTTTTTTAAATGTAAACAAGTTTCAGGTTGATTTGGTGGAACTTTTTGTGTTTGTTTTTGGGTATTGGATGAGGATGGTTTAGGTAAATGTTTGGTGTTAGTTTGACTTGGAAGAGGTGGAAAGCTTTCATTATTTAGAATACCTAATACTTCAAACCTATTCCCCGTACTAACAGCACATGTGTAAGAGTTTTTTCGACTGTCCTTTGCTTCTAAAAAAGTTAAATTTTTTTCGGCCATATGTCTTTTAATATCGTTTTGTTCTTTAAATTTTGGACATTGTTTGGAAATGGATTTATGCTCATAATTTTTACAGTGTATACGATAACTGTCTTGTGGGTCTCTACAGTTATGATCATCGTCCGCTGTTAATAAATCTGGTTTTTGTACTGTTGCAATTACGAAATATGTGTCCATGTTGCAAGCATTTGAAGCATTGTATAACTCTATGCACATAGGATTCTACGGAACAGGCAACACTGTTTATATATACATATCTGAGTAAAATGTTTTCTTCAAAAGTAAGTAATACCATTTGTCTGGGGACATACACTTTTTCTCCATTTAAGTGAATTTTCCATTTGAGTCGAGTGACTTCTGTTAATGTTATATGAGATATTAAATTACCAAAAATATTGGTCATTAAAAGCAGTATCTACGTTTCTTATTATGCCTTTTCGTTGTAGCAAATTATTTGGGATATATGCTTTTAGTTGTTCATCTTTTAAATTTTCATTTTTTACTAAATTATCTGCATCTTTAAGGCTTTTAACTTGTAGTTTTATCCTATTCTTCCCTACTCTGTCCATACTAAGAATATTTTTGATTGCTAATTTTTTATGTAAAATATGACCTACCTTCATAGGATGCAGTTTGCCAATATTTTCTTCATTTGTTTTTTCAATAAATACATTTACCTTATCCGTATAGAGATAACCTTTTTGTAGATTAAACAGCTTAATTCCTTTTTCCTGTTCCTTGGTTTGTAGGCATTCTTTCACTTGGTCCATATTTTGAACTGATAGTCACAAAAAACTGGTCTTAATCACTATTAAGGCACCTGTAAATATACGTGTTCTCTCTATGAATTATCGAACAAGACTGGAAATGGGTTCAAGAATATAATATTTCATATTCTGCTTCTATGTTGAAACTTAATCTGTACAACATAACAGAATTGCATAAACCTCGTTATGTAAAATATAAAATTGATAAAATTATACGAACACAAGGACAATATTTATTTGGACTCCCACCCTAGCATCCCGATTTGAACCCTATTAAAATTATTTGGGCAGCTTTGAAATCCTATGTGATAGACAAAATGCAGACTTTACATTTACGTCAATGAGTCAATAAAACAGCAATTGGACGAATTTTTTCAAACATTTCCTGTGAAAAAACAGGAAAAATAACTGAAAATGTCATCGCAACTGAATGTGAGTTAATATCAAAAGAGTCATTATATGATGTAGTCGTGGATAATTAGGTTATCAATGTAGACGAAGGTTCAAACAGTAAAGATTGTTCATCAAATTCTGATAGCAAAAACAGAGATTTTGATGACATTTAATTAAAAACTGGTAGGCATATGTTAATAAGCTTGTACTACTACCGTTGAAAACAATTTATTTTACCTAAATAGCTTATTATCAGCTTACTAACGTAATTGACTTTTGTTTATTTTAATAAGTATGACGAATATTTTACCTAATAATATATTTTTTTAATTACCTAATTTTCCAGTTAAAGAAAAACCTTAAAATAATAATCGACTAGGCAACGACGCATAAATGACCCTCCCTATCGCTTCTCTTTTACGCGATTTTAAATAAATATGTTCTTATTAGCTATTTGTCCTAACCCATATTCTTCATCACGTCTTTTCAGAAAATAGGCTCTTATAACGTAGTCCTGTTACGATTTTAAATGTTATGACGTATAAAAACTGTAAATACATTATGACTAATCACGTATTTTCTAGATCACGAACCGGCCGAGACGCAGGTAAAAAAAACGAACCTGAAACTATGGGTCCCCCTTCGATATGAAAGCGGTCAACTTCTACTCGATGTTTCTGGAAACAGGTTCGAGGCTATTCAGGTCAACTTCCGTCTACTTCACGCCAGATCCTTCCAGATAACGGCGTTTCAAATAAATAACGGCGATTCTCATTAAGGACGGTTAGTCAAAAGAAGCTCGCGATATCCGTTTAAAATTGTTCGAACGCAAATGAATTACACAGGTCGACATGATTTTTGGTGTTTTGAGTTTGACATGTGACCTTAGCTAATACGGGTACGCTGATTCTGGATATGAATTCGGTTTAAACCCATCACGTCAAAATTTTTCACAAAACCTTTTGAGATATTATGTACTAGCGCAAATAAATACCTTATTGATATTTCGTAAATGACATTAAAATTATTTCTTTAAAATACTTGATAGATCGATACAAAATATTTTAATACATTATTATGTTTCAATTTAAAAAATAAACACAAAAAACAATATCCCGATTTACTTTCTGCTAAACGACCTGTATCTCATGGATCAGGAATTCCTATTCCTCCACCTTTTCTTCACACCATCCAACAGCAATCATCAGATGAAATTTCTTAAGACGAATTCAATCCTGAGATAGATCTACCTCAAAAGTTTATCCAAGCTGAAGTAAATGACTGCATGGCTGAAAGATACAAATCTATTTGCTCCCGGTACCACATTTTCGTGGTATAAGCTTAGATTAAAGAAACCAATTTTTAATCTATGGGTACAGGCATCATGAAAAAGAGTTTGCGGAATATTTTTCTCAAGAGGGCTCACTGGTGTATTGTCATAATATTCCTGAAGCAGTCATGCAACTGGGAGCTGACAATTACGACAAGATAATATCTTGAACTGTTGCTAAATCAAATAAAGTATAGCGTATAAAGTATGAAGATCTCAAAATTATAACCATACTTTTGGGTCAGCAGTCTGGATTCACAAAGTTACGTTGAGAAAGACAGGCCACTCAGAGAAAGACGTACCGGGACAAAAAATGTGCAACGCTATATACTAGTTGACCAAAAATTAGTTCTTTTGCATCCCCTTCACATAAAGTTAAAATTGATGAAGTAGTTGTCAAAGCTTTAGATAAACCAGGTGACCACTTTAAATATCTGTTCGACAAATTTCCTACACTTTCTGAAGCTAAACTTAAAGAAGGAGTTTTTGTAGACCCTCAATTATTCAAACCTTAAAATTGGACAGATTGTTCCAGAATACAATGACCTAGAATAAATTTGAAGCATAGAGTTCTTTCGTAGAAGTCATAGAGGATTCCTATTTTTTTTTTCTTCAACGCCCTGTATCTTAAAAACGGATGGCGTTACAAAAATTTTTTTTTAAGCAAACCCCATTTATTTTTCAATTTTTTACCTACCCTAGAAACGGGGTTACCTTTTTTTGAAACACCCTGTATTTTCTCAGTATTTTTGGCATTTTCTATAAAAAAATTCAAACACAGTTTTCTTCAAAACCTGATGTGCTGGAAAAAAACTAAGAACAGATTCGTGATCAGCACATCCCATTTACTATAAGACACTTATTAAACTTAAAACACTTTTTCACGAAACAAAAAATGTAGGCCTGTGTTATTTGTAATTATTAGGTGTAAAATAAATTAGTATAAAATAAAGACTTTTGATAAATTATCGCGAGTTTTAATAAATTAGAATAAAGACAGTAAATTAGAATAAAGACAATAAATTAGAATACAGACAATAAATTAGGACTAATAAAAATATTACAGTACAAAACAATCACCAGCAATCTACAACCTTGGTGTATCAAAACCTAAGAGCCATTAAGCGTCAAACATTTAAGTTTAATACACTTTAAGCAATGATGAAATCACTGTCTGAGACAAAGTTTAATGTTGTCGCTTCTTGGAAGACGAAACGGTTCCACAAATCATCTTTCGGTCTCAAGTCTAAAATCCATTTCGTTTTTGATAATAACACGTCTCAATACTTCTGTTTTTTTCCATAAACCATGGCAAATATGCAGACTTTTAAAGAAGCATAAAAAGCTACCGCATAGAATAAGTTTTGCTGGATTGGCCATATTTGACAAATTGAGAGTACAATTTTAATTAATACTCTTATTTTTATTTTAAAGTCGTTAGTCTTGTCTACTAAATTTTCTGTTTAAATATAACTGTTTTTTAGTATAAGTCCAATGTTTTAATACCAATGAATTAAGCATTTGTGTTAAAATATTAAAAAAATATACTTACTCTGTAACTTCTAGCTGATCTGCAACTTCAACCGAACCTAACTTATAATAAACTTTATGTAGAATTTGATGACCTTGTCCTCCTGACCCTCTACCATCAATTTGTGCGATAATGAAATCTTTGTTTCCTGATAGATATGTGTTCCAATCGATTCTCCATCTTTCAGTAACCAATTGGCTTCCAGGTCCTCCATAAACTTGAACTATTAAGGGATATCTTGTAATTTCGTCTTCTCGTAGACCAGGGGGAAGATGAAGACGAACATGTGCTTGATATCTATTAATATAAGAGTTTTGTAAGAAAAAATGTATCAAAAACGATAAAGATACGTAAATAGCTAGGTATTCTTTATTAATCTTTGTGTTATTTTCTTCAAAATAAATAAATAACAATAAGTAATAAATAATAATAAGTTAGAATATGTTTATTTTTAAACAAAAATAAATTGTGATTAAGGACCCAGTGTAAGTTCTTCTTGAATTTGTGCCGTTGTCTGTCAGCCCCTGTGCGATATTGCTTAATAGTCCAGTCTAAAGAGAGTACACAAATATAATACCTTCATTATCCAAATGACCTAATAATAATGGTAAAGTAATAAAAATCATATACAAATTTTTAAGTCAAAATAAAGAACTCCTAAAAATAAAGAAATCTAATTTTAGAATGTGCACATGGAATGTTAGAAGTCTATTCGCGGCTGGGAAACTTGACAACGCAATTCAGGAAATGAAACGAATGAAAATAGACCTACTAGGAATTAGCGAAATGAGATGGCCAGAGTCAGGATCATTTAAAAAGGACGGAAGTGTATTATATTATTCCGGTAACAGCACAGAAGACCCGCATCACAAAAATGGTGTAGGTATATTAGTAACATCAGAACTGAGTAAATATGTGACCAATTTCGTACCAGTCTCAGATAGAATAATATTACTCCAAATAAATTCTCATATATTCAAAACTAACATACTTCAAATATATGCCCCGAGTGCAGATAGAAAATATGACGATGAAGTCGAGAAGTTGTATGATTACATCCAAGACATCTTACAGAAACTTAATAAAGACGAAATTTTATATATTATAGGCGACTTCAATGCAAGGTCGACGGGGTCAGACTGTAGGTCCTTATGGGTTAGGACAACCTAACGATCAAAAAAAAAAGAGCTTGTATGAATTATGTAAAAAAAACGATATGATCATTGCAAACACCTGGTCTATATATATATATATATATATATATATATATATATATATATATATATATATATATATATATATATATTCGTATGAACTTTACACATTGCAGTTTTACATAAAGAAAAGGAAGAAAAAAAGTAAGAAAAAAAGGAAAAAAAAGAAAAAAAAGAAAAAAAAGAAAAAAAAAGAAAAAAAAAGAAAGAAAAAGAAAAAAAAAAGAAAAAGAAAAAAGAAAAGAAAAGAAAAAAAACACCTGGTATAAACTACCCAAGCAACGACTATACACTTGGCAAGCCCCATTTGATGATGGCAATAACCCTGAGTCTTCAAGAAATCAAATAAACTATATACTTGTAAATGAGCGTTTCCGAAATACCGTAAAAAAAGTCACTACATATCCTGGGGAGATATTGGATCTGATCATCAACCATTCGTAGCAGATATTAAACTAAGGTTAAAACGAATTCAGCGACAAAAACGAAAAACCAATGTACTAAACTTTGACGATATAAACATAAAACATAACATTAAAAAAGAATTTAACAATAGAATAAAAAACATCGGGTAACAACTAGAAGATCCAGAAGAACTATGGAGTGAATTTAAAAACCAAGTTAACGAAATTTCCACAAACAATGATTATAGAAAAAACTTAATCAAGAAAAATAACTGGATGACAGACGACATTTTGAAATTAATGGAACAACGTCGACTGATAAAATCTAATGTAACAGAATATATACACCTACAGAGAAGAATAAAAAAGGAGATCAGATTAGCCAAAGAAAAATGAATGAGAGAAAGGTGCGACGAAATGGAGGATGTAATATCTAAACACGACTTATTTAATATGCACAACAAATTGAAACAAATGAGTAATATATTTAAAAAACGAGTTCCCTCTGTACTTGTTGACACTAATACCAAAATTATTGTAAATGAGCAAGAAATAAGAAAAGAATGGCAGCTGTATATATCAGAGTTGTTTGAAGATGACAGGAATAATATTGTCGAATTCTACCAAAACTGTACTGACGGCCCAGAAATTATGAAATGCGAAGTAGAACATGCTATAAATAATGCTAAAATTAGAAAAGTTTGTGGTCCAGATGATACACCAACTAAGTTGCTGAAACTAATAGATAATGATAACATAAAAGTAGTAGTAAGACATTTTAATTCAATATATAGCACCAGAGTGATTCCCGCAGATTGGCTTAAATCCATCTTTATCGCAATACCTAAAAAACACAATGCCAGAAAATGCTCAGAATACCGATTAATTAGCCTAATTAGCCACACTCTTAAAATTTTCCTCAGATTACTTCACAACAGAATTAGACGCAAATGCGAAGAAGATCTTGAAAATACCCAATTTGGTTTTAGAAATGCTATGGGAACCAGGGAGGCACTTTTTGCCCTAAACATTCTATTACAAAAATGCCGTGACCAAAGAAAAAATGTATTTGCATGTTTCGTGGACTTCGAAAAGGCATTCGATAGAGTACAGCATGTAAAATTAATGCAAATACTGAAAAATATCGGAATAGATGACAAAGATATTCGTGTCATTAAAAATTTGTACTGAAATCAAACTACTATCGTAAAAATTAGAGATAACTACACCGATAAAATTCCTATACAACGAGGAGTCAGACAAGGTCACGCGAAGAAGAAGAATAAAAATCACCCCCCCTAAAAAAATAAATCTTTACTTGTTAAAATGTGTAATTTATAAGAAAAGACTTAAATCTTAGATAAATCATTATGCAAATTATTAAGGTTCTAAATTCTAAGGATTTTAACTTAGTAAACTACTTAAAATTTATGATCTCTACTATCTTGTTATTATTGTTAATTTTGGGTTTTCCGGAAATTCGTGTTTTCAGATTAACCTGTACGTTTACTTGTTGTTTATCGTAAAATACAATATTCGTTGTATATGACAAACTACTAGTTAAATAATAGTCACAATGTTTACAAATAATAGTCAAATTGTTACAATGTGGTGTTCGCAGAAAACTAAATTCATGGTTGTCAGTGCAAATTTAGATTCTGGGGCACTAATGGCAGGTATCGAAGAGATCCAGGGAGTCGACAGATTCACTTACCTCGGAAAAACCCTCAAATCACAATGGGACTACGCTCAAGATATGAGATCTAGAATTGAAATGGCACGGTCTACAATCTACATTTATCAAGTTGAGATCCGTGCTTTACTTTCAGTGATCTCAGTTTGGGAACCAAGATGTGGATAGTGAGGTGTTACATTCTTCCACTGTTACTATATGGAAATGAAGCGTGGACACTGACACAAGCCACAGAAAAGCGGATTGTAGCCTTTGAAATATGGATCTACAGAAGTATACTAAAAATATCATATGTAGACTATGTCACCAACGTTGAGGTCCTACAGCGCATAAAAAAATAAAAGAAGTACTTAATTTAGCACTTCTTTTTTACTTTTTCTAGTGCTTAATCACTAATAACGTGAAACAACGTAAGCTTGAGTACCTCGAGCACGTGATGTGAAACGAAGAAAAATATCAAATTCTTCAACTCGATATGCAGGGTGAGGTATTTGGCAGGAAAGGACCGGGATGCCGTCGTATCTCATGGTTAAAACACCTCCGACAATGGTTAGAGGTGACCTCCGCGGAGCTGTTTCGCAGAGCCGTAAACAAAAACATCATATCCTTGATGATCGCCAACATCCGGACCAGATAAGGCACTGAAAAAAAAGATGAAGAAGAAGTCCGTAGAATTGTGATAACTATAACACAGAAGAAGCTCATGTTGAGACTGCCATCGAAAATTGTCACTTAGAAGATGCTGCCTCCATTCAATAGCAAGAATCAGAAAGATTTCAAAGAATCCATCTGACATTTATTAAGGAAGAAATAGTTAATATTGTTTTTATTTAAATTTAACTAATAGGCATATAAACAAAACTGCAGCTATAAAATAAACTATCGCTCTTACTAAGACAATAAACCTTTTTTCATTCAAAAAATTATTAATAATCGAATACTCCGAAAAACTAAAAGAAGTGGCAGTTTTGTTTCACAAAAGTTTGTTAGTGGAGATGAAGACATATCCGTCGTAAATTGTACACAATGTAATGAAGAAATAAATCCAGATATGCCCTCCTTCAAGCCATCCTACAAGAAAAAATATTTGGAAAATGAGTTCTAGGAGAAAAAACCTCAGAATCTCTTTCAATACAACATATGTGTAGCTTTTCCGCGCTGCTGCATATAAGATAAAGATTGCTCTGATGATCGCCAACGTTTGTAAGAGATAGGCACATCAAGAAGAAGATGTATAAAGAACAATCGTCGGTGCTGGCATTTTACAATCTTCTTAATAAACTTAAGTAGATACCACTGGAATTAAGTGCGGAATTCCACAAGTTTGTGGAAGTATTTGAGGCGCAGAGGATTAGGTTTAAGAAATATGACACTCCATCAAAAGGTTAGTTTAATAACAGAGAACACTTTTCGCTGTTCTAGATCACTTATGCCCTTTGGCTCACTTGTGCCTGTACTGCGAAGCTAAACGCAAAGAAAAAGGTTGTTAGGAATTTTCTTCATGTAGTTAAAATAAAACAAGAACCGATACAAGAAAGACAAAACAACAAATCAACAGTATCGAAATAAAAGTATTAAGATCAATAGTGGACATATCATTAAGAGACAGACAAATCAACAGAAGTATACGCGAACAATGCAAAATTGAAAATATTCACAGTTGGATAAAAACACGAAAAAAAAAACTTTAATGAACATGTAAACCGAATGATACCAGATAGGTTAGCGAACATCTGTAAAAACAACAAGCCGTATAGTAGAAGACCCGTTAGAAGGCCGCCAAAAAGGTGGAAAGATAATGTATATATAGTCAACAACGACTGAAACAGAATAAGAGGCAGACAAACAGAAGTAATCCTAGTTGCACGAAGAAGAAGAAGAATAAATACTTAGTAGTTAAAAAATAATATCTACGCTTATCTGTGCGATGCAACTCGCGGCACGGCGAAGAGAAGAGACACGGATCGCAAACATCGAATCCTAGGC